TAAATCTTCAGCCTCAGGATAGCCTTCTCTTTTTAATTTACTACGTGCCTCCTTAAACAACTATTGAAAATAGTTTTCATTATACACATATTTTTAAAATTATCTTTATTGTCATTCTTTGTTATTCATCTCACCTTATTTGCTTGTCTTCTTCCAGGTGTAAAACCAAGATCTACTTTTGTAATTATTGGTCTAGCTACTTGTACTTCCTGAGTCATTTCCGCAAATTTCATCACTTGCTGTGAAACACATGAATAAATTACTTTATTTTCTTTTATATGTTCACATCTCATATTATTGATTTCTTTCTTACAATTGTTTCATCATAATCATCTGCCCTTGGATTCACGCAAACAATCATTCTAACTTGTCCTTCTCCATCGAAATAATTTTTAAATAAGTGGGTGAGCTTTGAATCTCTGTAGGGTACTATTTTATTTGTACCCTGAAGCTGGTTTTCTCTTAGAATTTCCAAACACGATCGTAGTGTCATCAAAGAATTATTAATGTTCCCTAAATAAAAATCAATGTTTTATGAAAATATATTAAAATATTATCATAATATTTTAGAGTCACATCTGAAGTACCTGCTTCTCTTAATCGTTGACCTGTATTTTTAGTCCTATTAGTTCTTTCACTACCAGCTAAATCTACCAAAGACAACTGAGTAATACATACTACTCGTTTATCTTGTATAACTTGTTCACCTTCACCATCTAAGGGTGCCTGTAAGAAAGCATTGCGTTATGTCGTTTGTGAATATTAATTAGACAAAATGTGAAATAATTAAAAACATTACTTGTACAAGACGAATGGTAAAGACACTGTGCGATCTACTTGACTCTGCATTAAGCGCAGTGTGCGCAACTCTTCGTCTCCGTTGTCCACGCTGGAATACTTCAAATGCTTCTTCTGAACTTTTTACTTCAATTTCTGTTACACCATGTACATACATATTCTTATTACCATCTTCTCTAACTATTTTACTCTGCAATGCCCTGAAAATTCTCTTAGTATCAAAATAATATTTAAAATTGAAGTAATTTAAATTGAAAACACTTGAATGATACTATAAATAATATTATAAATAGAAATTGACATTATACTTGTTTCTAATATCTTCATCCTCTAGTAAATCGTATACACTGTTGTTATAAATCTCAACATAAGTAACAAATACTGCATAGGCAGTGTCTTGATCCACTTGTATTATTTGTGATTCCTCAACATCACGAATCACTATTGGATTACTATCACTGTCATACTCCGCCTTCCTTCTATAAAAACCATTAACCGTTAATAAAAATGTTTAGCTCATAGAATACATATCATTCTTGAACTTACGGCTTGCCAGACTTTCCATTTTTCTGTGACACAAGCCCAGCATGAAGTTCGTTTTGTCTATCGAGCATCGCATCAGCTTCACCTTGTACATCAAAACCATTCAACTTATCTGGTTTGAAGATGAATTTTTTTGTCTGATAATTGGCGATACTGTTGAAAATAACATCAAGGCAACGAGGCATTATACCCGCGTCTTGTGGTTCACCAGTCATGGTGTATGTTTTGCCACTGCCTGTTACTCCATATGTAAATAAAAGACTATTTCTACCGCGAATGACATTTTCAACTAATGGAACAGCAACTACATTAAAAATCTCCTTTTGCGTCGTACTTGGTGGAAATACGTGACTGAATATTGTTTGGATTTCCTTATTATTGGAATTACGAAAATTGGTTGCTGATTCTGGTGGTGTAATAATTACAGTTGTGTCAGATATAAGCTTCATACAAGAGATATCAGCAGGATGTTGCATTGGTCTTAAACGACAATATACTTGAACTGGATCTTTAGATAACATATTATTACCCTTAGGACGGTTTGGCTTACGAGCTGAACCTGGTGGTTTCAAGCGTCTAAAATGTTAACATATTATCAATATTTTGAATTGTTATATATTATGCAATAACTAAAATATTGTTGAATGATTATTAATAATGGCAAAACCATCGTTTAATTTCACTTGTAGATAGAAAACTAGATAGAAAGAGTAATAGAACTTACGTAGACTTCATTTCTCGTACAGTTATATTTCTCTTCCGTTATCTTAAAACTAATAACGATAGTATTTGACAGATGTGACGAAGATAATGTTTAATAGATGCCACAAGCCGAAAACCGTTGTTCTGATTCAGCTCAAATTCAAATCTAGTTACAAAGTGGACTGTGCTACCAATACATGCAGTGCTACCAATATACATAAAAAAAATCATAGTGATATTACGCGTAACGTAATAGGCTTATTAAAGTATAAGAAAAAGAAAAAAAAATCTATGAAAAAATTTTAATTAATCTCCGATACTGTTTATGTATGAGAATATTTATCCAGTTTGATAAAATTTATTTCATTTTATATTTATCGAACTATATCCGCAATAAATACGAGCTAGTGTTGTATAGTTTGAAGAACTATTAAGATTGAAAGAAATAAAGAGGTTCGTGCAAACTTGAATTTTGTCGAAAACTATTGACAATTTATTTAAAATTAATTTAACTTAATTTAGCAATTCAATAGCCTCAGTTATAATTAAAGAAATATATTGTGTCAAATATCAAATGATATCAAATATAGCGATTAGATCTTTAAATCATATATATAATACAGTGTACTATACATTCGATGTACAATGTACTAAATTCTACTAACATTGAGAGATACATATCTACCTTTCCCTCTCTTTTTTTCTTTGTATACGGTAGACGGCATAAAGCGCATGTCATTTTAAGTTTGAGTATTGTCGAGCAAACATTTTTCGCAATATATTGGAAGCATTAAGCAATATTGTTTGGAAATTCACTTGAAATGGATTCTAGCAAGTCAGAATCGACACCGAAACAAGCTATGGTATACGTTTGTGGAGGTATGATTAAAAACATACTAGAACAAAATTTTAATCTTTAAATTCACATGTCATATAAGTAGACTGAATTTTTATGCAGTTATGCAAAATATAAAAATACGATAATGCACAAAGTAAAATACTAAAATATATAAAATATTCAAGCTGTACTATTTATTATAATATATAACGTTACAAATAAATCTCTAACCTCAAATTCTTTGTGTTTATGAAAATATGAATTTGCATAAAAATGCATAATTTGCTCATAAGTATATATTATGTATTTTCGAGATATTTGCATTATTCTCTTATATTTTTATTATATGATTTATTTAATGAGAATTTAGAAAGATAATAAAATTTAATTTTAAGAGAATTGAAGCATTTCGTCAGTTTATTGTTATTTTTGTAAATTTTATCCATTATATATCATATTTCTGTTTATATTTTTACAAATTTCATATAAATATTGTTTATAAATTTCATTATAAAAATATTTTTTTTTTGCTTTGTAGAATGTCATCATGACAATGAAATACGACCAAGGGATCCAATTAGATGCAGAGAATGTGGATACAGAATCATGTATAAAAAACGAACTAAAAGACGTATCCTTTCATAATTAAAAAGACATCATATATTAGAAGTACATATGAGCGTTTATTTTGAAAGGTATGTTATTTTGTTTTTAAATTAAGATATTTCAAGTTTGCATTCTAACATATCTAAAAAAATTTGCTAACTTTCAAGATTTATTTCTTATTTTAGATGTTAGTTATACTTATATTTTAGTCATTTATATTTATTTCTCAGTATAAATAATATAGATATTAATAAATCGTCATTTTTCATTATTGTGAAGTGATTTATGCCACTTTCAAAAATAAACGACTCGTAAATACTTTATGTATATTATCTACGTACATATAAACATAATGAACACAAGTTATTTTCCTTAATAAATATTTAGTTGTTGTATTTGATGCACGGTAAATGTGACTGACATAAGCGCAATATTATGAATTTCATAAATATATAAATAAGTATTGATTTCTATGTAAGGTAAAGTAAGTTTTAATAAAATAATACACACAGGATTATTGCAAATTAGATATTTATTCCCATCCCACATAATTCATAAAATTGTACTTTCTTACTTGTGATGTTGTCTTGAAAAATTATATATTTCATGAATTTTTGGTGAATTTTAAACGAGTTAATTTTTTTTATTCTATTTATCCAAATTTTGTTAACTGTGCATCCATATAGACCATGTAATGTAAAACATTTTATGCAATATATGTTTTTATTTACAATAAATAAATTACATTTTTATCAGTAGTTCAACAGAGTCACAGAATCAGGAAGAAAACTGACGACGACACTAGCAAAATGTTGGCATTCTTACATTTCATAAAAGCTGATGTTATATGTTTGCACATATATATCTTATAAAGTTTTAATGCGGTCCCATTACATTATGATATTTATCAGCAGAAGCTTAATTCGCTTCCATTGAAATATGTTTTTACTAACAAATTTTTTAAACTTTAAGTTTCATAATCGTAGCGACCAGCTACAAAAGTATAAGATAAAGTTCTCACATGAGCACAACTTAGATTATATGCTTGGAAAAATATTTATAAAATATTACTGATATATGTAAAATCTTAATTTGCCAACTGTTTGTAAGTGTTACTGTTAACACTCTATATAATTGTATTTGTAAAAACATAGATTTTAGATTTTGCCTTAGAAATTCTTGAAATAAAATTAATAATTTTGGAAGAATTTCTTTGAAAACCAATTCAGTCAAAAATAATTCACAAATTGTATGTTCGATCCTACTTGTTCTTAAGATCTTTTAATACTGTGTTTGGAAGGAGCCAAGCCAACTTCTTACAGGAGTTATAGAACAACAGTAATAGAGCATACAGATAAAATATTTTATCACTTATAGAGTATATACACTTCATGGTTGTATTTGTATATATTCCTTTTTGTGTTTACAAAAGGGAATATTAATATTATTAAACAGAATATTATACAGAATCAATTTATATTTTAATAAAGTTCAAAACTATTGTTTTTAAAAAAAGGGAAACTATAATCATTATCAAGATAAAGAAAAATTATTATAAAAGTTTTAATATTTACAGTAAGCAAACATTTACACAATAACAATATTATGTTTTGTTAAAGATACTAAAATTGGAGGCACTTCATATTTTCATTGTTAAGAAATATTGACATCTGTTTTCCTTTGTTATTTTTAAATTTCATTTCCTTAAGAATTTTTTAAAAGTTTTTCACTGTTACATTGAATTTGCAACTTTCCTACTTGAATTGTAGACTTATCATTAGTTATTAGTTAAAGTTATATTAATTGTAAAAAATTAGAATTATATAAAACAATATTACTCTTTCCTTCTGCAATATAGTTTCCTTTTCAGTAAATACTATAGTTTTAAAGCAACAATATGACAGTTTGCGTATATGTTAAATAAATTATTTAATTTCTGTTATAATATTCTGATATAATAACTTTAATGATATTAATTATTATAAGTGATAAATGCCTTGTGCATGTTACAGAATATTTAACATATTGTACATATCAAGTACTTTAAATTATGTTTTTGTTTGTTGTATGTTATATACTCTAGTTTATTCTAAAGTAACATTTACACCACTTTTTTCGTGTAATAAATACCTAATTTTTCACATATTAAATTTGTAAAAAGTTTTTGTTTGCACATTAACAAAAAAATAGATTTACATAAATATTTGTGTAAATTATCTACAAATATTTTCAAATAACAATAGAAAAAATATGTTGTTTAACGCATTTATAATGTTCTTTTCGAACGGAATACAAATTTATCTTACATCAAGTATTTCCTTGTATAGTGTATAAATGACAAAAAAGTATAGATTATTTATAATTTCCTAGACCTAAATCAATAGATTTGATATGTAAAGGATGTTTTGTTATGTATGTTTCTTTAAAATACCCGATACTTTTACAAAAAAACAATCGTTTCGAAAATATATCGAGAACAATATTTTGAAAGAACTAGCTTAGTAATCACATGTGGGATAGTTAGAAGATAAACATTGCATTGTATGAAATTTGGCTTCAGCTGCATTCCAAAATATTTTTTTCTTTGTGAAATTCTCCGTTCTAATATACTTTTTTCTTTTTTTTTATCAAATATTATTTTCAATGCAAAAGTTATTTTTCGTTTATCTTATTCTTTCTTCCAAAATATAAACATTGTTGGCTTGGCATTGTGGACATACATACGTGCACACTTTAAAAATTCATACATGATTTAGTCGATTTTCATTACAATGGGTGTATACATCAAATGCTATATTGAACTATATGCTACATTGATATTGTTTGGCGACGCTTCAACTGGACCTCAATGTACATGATTGTGCGGTCATTTGTCTTCTATTTTCTCTCAAGCACACATATGTAGGTACAAATTATGATAATCGACATCTGATTATGCAATAGGAAAGACGAGTCGTGCTTGAGTTGTTAATAAAAAACTGGGCGCTGTATATTATGTAAATGTATAAGCTACAATAGCTGTCGCTCATGGAAGGTATATTACTTCTTAAATATCTTAAGCAAAATCAGAAAATCGGTTACCCAGAGTTTGACATATAGACAATGACGATGATCCGACCTCCAACGCTTGATTAAATTAAATCAAATTTACTGAATTTGTTACCAAATATAAAACAGAGTTAGGAATTGATTAACAGAGTTAAATCATTATCACAAAATAACTCAATTATCACTGATATAATCCCTATATTTAAGTACAATATTTTTACTTTCATTTATTTAAAGTTTAAATTGATTTTTTCTTATTGGTTTATTTTACATATTTTATTGTACCATTAAATTTATCATTATTTTGAACTTTAATTATTATTATAAATTGAAAAAAATTTAATTTTTCTTGATACTAATATATATTATTTTTTTTTGCATTATTTAACAAAAATTTTAATTAGCAATATTATATTTTTACAAGTAATAAAGATAATTAATAAAACAACTTGAAGGAACAATTATTATGAATGCAAAAAAAGTTGAAATGTTTTACCTAACTCTGTTTTGAGATAAAAAGTATATTAAATTTCAAAAAGAACAAGTGGGATAAGGAGGATAGCTATAAAAATGATACACTGAAATTATAATTTACATATGATCCGAATAACCGATTCTGTTCCCAATTATGAATTTCTTACAATTATAATGAAGACTACAATAGGATTTCATTATATTATACATATATATATATACAAACACATTTTCTCTTATATCAACAATAATTCTCATAATTGATCATACTAATATCATATATATATATATCATTATATATATATAT